ACAGAAAGTAAAATTTAAATAGTCAACTGAGTATGACTATGAAAAAGTTTGGTTCTCGTCATCATCTACATTACAAATTAAAGTCTCTCGACTTTCAACTCTCTAATCGTTGTTTGGAATTGTCTTGGAACACTGGGTGCTTACCATTTGCAAAAACCATCCGGTTGGAAATTTCAGGCATAAATATTAAACAATTGAATGCGATGTTGCGGGAGAAGGAATCGCTATAAAGTATATCCACATCAGCTAGAGAGACTTAAAAGAGCAGAAAAATAGCATCATCTCAAATCACAGCCCATTTTTTCTAAAGCTTCCCAAACGGAATGGTGCAAACCATTTGATTTTTTAACTGGAATTTCCGGTTTTCCCATGTAAATGGTAAGTACCCACTGTCTCTTGTGTGTGGAATGTTACACAGAATATGAATTTCTAGCCAATCGTAGCGCTCGCAGACTCTAGTCTCTTTACCAGTGGTGGTATTTTTGTTATTCTTCAGTGCGATACAGATGAAATTCATACTTGCTGTTTCACTCCCAATGGCTCGGTATTCGCGTCTGGACCAGCAGAAGCCGAAACAACTATTTGTATTTATTAAATATAATGACGATATTGGCCAATCTAAGTCTGGCTTAAGCCAACCTTAACACTTAATGACCGCCAGCTAAAGAGAACAGGAGGAGGTATCTTTGATAGCAGTTTTAGGCCACTAAGTAGTAATGAGTTAATCATTGTTTATGACTGATTTTGGATAGTTCACTTCTTGAAAAAGTTATACTCACAAATGATACCACATCCTACATTCAACCAAACATCGAGCACAAAACTAAATCCGCAATTTTTTCCTTCTCTGAACCGTTTTCATAACTGTAATAGCTCCAGTTTTGTATGGTTAACTTAGACATGTAATTTACAAAGAACGTAGGCACAAGCAAGATCAAAATGTTTTGTACAATACAACAAAAAGATTTATTTAAAACCTGCACAGGTACGTTGCTGGTAAATAATTTATGTACAACATCACTCTTACTGTAGATACATTTACAATGTCGTAATTGATAAACAAATAAATAAAGTTAAGGAAATATTTACAATAATGGCAAATGAGCCTTCTGATTGCTTTCCTCCAGTCAGTGCTAGTGGAGGAATTCAATATTTGGGAGCTTGAGCTGAAGCCTAGCCACTTACTAGTCACGTGATAACTCGTGTTTCATTCCTCACAACTCGGCTTAGAGCAGTTTTCAACCGAGTGTCGTAAAACCAAAACCAAAGTAGTCGCTCAAGCCAATCACAAAGGACACAGACAATACAGTGAGCCAATCAAAACTCGAAGAAATTACACGTAGCTGACGCTAAGCGTGGGAAAACGTGTGCGAACGAGTCACGATTGGCTTTGATTTAACTTCTGATTGGATAAAAAATTGGCGCGAGTTTTTTAAGCCAATCGCGTAGCGTAGTCAGTGGAAAACCAATTAATTTTCGACTCTCAAACAAAAACCGCTCTAAAGTCAAGACAAGTGTCGCCTGATGCCAGTATTCTATTTACACTGCGTTTCGAAATCCTCGAGTAATGAAAAACCCAAAGTATGAACAGGAAAGACTTGAAATCGTCCTATAAATTCTAGTCAACAGAAGCTATGCAAGTTATTCAACAATCCATCCTAGCTCCATTGCAAGGGGAATTAAGTGGTCATAAGAAACTGTTTCTAAGAAAGCCTAGACAAGTTAGCACTGTCTGAATGTCACTACGTGATCAGGGCACCCCAAAAAATAAAACGACAAATAACACTTTCGGGCATTACTGGCAGAACTGTATCTGTCTGCACTCTTAAGGAAGCATGTATAAGGTTCCGCTTCCCGGCAAAGACTTAAAACACTCCGAGTCGGGAAGAAGGTCATTTTAACTAACACTTAGAAAATGGCGGGTCTTGTAGGAACACCCGTAGTGAGCAGGGAAGGGGGAAAGGTGTAATACATTACACGTGCAAAAGAGCATCAATAACAATATTTCTGTAGTACAGCAGCCTTTGAAAGAAGAAATATTTTGCAAGCCAACAAAGCATATCTCCCAGGAAATTTAAAAGCAGGCTCTTATTCCCAGGCAACAAACATTCTTGCGGGAAACCTACTTTGCGGATTGCCTTCGTTAGGTGCTCTGTATTGTACTTTAGGTCAATCTAACGAATAATATGCGACTCCTCCTTTCGCTTGAAGCAATCACTTAGCAACCTGATTCATTCGACCGTTACTTAAAATTGATCATTGCTCACATCTTCGTAAGCCAAATTTCCTTGAAAGAAACTGCCTCCTTGAGTGGTGGTATTCAAGGTTTTAATCACCACGGGATCAAACGAGAAAGCCACAGAAGCAGACGAGTGGGACCGGGTGCTGGGAGTGCCACTGCCTGGGGTATCTGGGAAGACAAAACTCCGATCATCAACAGGAGTGTTAATGTTTGAGAGTCCACTCTCAGTGTCGGCGTAGTAGCTGTTAGTTGGGCTCAGCTGACTGTAGACTGAAGGCTTGTGCATCATGGAGCGCAGCTCCTCCTCGCATAGTTCCAGGAGCTCGTGTACCGGCGGAAAGGTGGGAGGCATGAAACCAAAAGAGAACTTGGGGTCGTGCATAGAGGGCGAGACAGGCGCACTAGCCACCTTACGTATGCCCAGGAACGACCTGGGATCGAGTGATGATGACTGATTGAAGGTGTCCATTTGTTGCGCAGCACTGAAAGTGGGAAGCCCTGTGACGAAATCAAGATTTCAACTTCAGCTAATGATCAAGATTTCGACCAAAAGATGAACATAAGTTAAGTAGATTGGGGGAACGTCAAACGTTTAGGATAGGTCCAAGGCAGACCATCCACTAACTTGAGCCAGCTTGGCCCAAAATGCCGGAGCAGGGCCTTACCGCGACCGAGCGACTAGAAGCATGTTATACCATCCAAAGAAATGGCAGATCAAGGGTATTTAAAAGGTTATAGCATAACTTCAAAAAGGCATTACCCAAAAGACATTTACTTTGTATAAAATATAATGTTCCAGTTTTGTTAAAAATTACTTAATGCGTGTATTGAAGCTATAAAAATAGCGGTGAGTGGTTGTGATGTCAAATTGAAAACATCTGGCAGACTTTTTCGCATTCTGTGGCTGCGTCTTAAATAAATTGCTAAAAATCAATTCATCAATTCGCTAATATCCTCATTTTGAAGTGCTAATAGGAAAGTTTGGCGTGCAAGTAAAGGTACTCAGTCATAACTTGGCACTGCTTTGCGCTTTGTCCAAAGATGAGGCAAATCTGCCGTGATAGTGTCACTTTATTAATATTGAAAAGACATGATTGACCATCGCAATCCACCGTAGGAAAAAAATGGCGGCTGTACATTTGACCACAATACCTTGGTAACCTAACACAGCCTACAAGGTACAAAGAAAGCCAATATTTTACAATATTTGTCCCTGTACGAAGGACATTTTGTATGCTTGGTTTGAAGATTTTATAACTCTTCTGTACGTTTTTATGAACGTTGTTAAGGTTTTCGTGCGCTAAGAACTATGGGTAAATGTACCAGTCGCCATC